TTCTTTGTACGTTTATGAATATGTTTCCTGAGATTTTACACAAAAACCCATGAAATGCACTTTTTTCTGACATATAAACTCGCACTGTTGTTCACAATGAAGTTGAAATGGGTGACAATTTTGTGGCCTTACCTCAGTTTACTGATATGCTAGGTACCCTCACCAAAATGGTTCTTTTTAGTATAAACTCCAACAAGATGGATGCAGAGTATAAACAATAAACCATTGTGCAAGTGAACTACTAAAATCCTGAATTAGAATATCAACAAAGCAAATGTATGTCATTTTTGAGAACATTTTCATGTTCACAAAGAATGCTCAATTATTTAGAATGTTCCTTGACGGGGTTGCCATCAAAACAACTATCGCATCTCTCTGTATTAAATGGTGATCTTTGTCCAAAGATTTTTCTCACATCCACCACTGCACCAGTTCCATTCATCACCACCATAAAGTTATGTACTCCAAATTGTCTGGCTTAATCACTAGAAACAAGTAAATTGCAGAAAGATTATGTACTATGTTCCAAAATTTCCACTGCTATACAAAATTTTCACTTAATGAAAAAAGTTGTGCCACATCACCCTGCATGGGACTCTTTCCCAACCCAGGTTAGGGTATTTGTAAAATCAACAAATACATTCCAAGTTGCTGTGCATCTGTTCAGTTATAGATGAAATATGATGTCAAAATGTAGTAAGAACAAAACAGTGAACAGATGCACAGTAACACAGAATCTATTTATTTTTAGCCTGCTTGCAGGAGGTAGTTATGTTATCAAGTGTGAGATTTGGTGTGGAATATTTGCATTCACCATATTGGATGGGTGGAAGATTTGGGACTAGTGACAAAGAAAGAGGGAGGGGGGAAAGGAGAGGTTCTTCTGGTTTCCCCCTTCCCCCTGGCAAAAAAATATTGGCTGCACTGAATCTTGTGTTTTAAAACACAAACTGCGGCTTGCAAGCAGGCTAATTTGTTTTAAATATGAGAAAAAAAGCAAAATGGTGTGAGTGGTGATGTTATCTATGCATGTGTCCTCCGATTGATCATAAGTAGGAACCAATCAAAATGCCTGTACCGTTCACCTTAACATAAAATGCCGAATAAAGTACCGTGCCCAATAGAGCACAGACGCATGAATTATAATTAACCATCTCGTTAATCATGTTTGTCACGCTAG